TATCTGATCAGAAAAATGCAAATCAGAACTACTCAAGATCATATTCCTGTCTGAAAGAGTGCACCCTCTCTTATTGGTTTCTTCATTGCGTCTTTAATATAAAATTTCATAGTGAGATCTTTGTCCAAATTTAAATTGATCTTGTCGTTACGAACGTCTATCAAAGATCCTACAATTACCAATAATGGCCTTCCAAGTATCAAGGGATCTTTAGGTTCCTGATCCATTTCCAAAACTATAAAGTCTGTAAGTACTTCCACTGTCCCAATACGAACTGGTAGATCTTCTAAAATTCCATGGGGAAGCCGAACTGATCTATTACAAAGATAAGAGATATATTGCAGGGCTTGAATCTTTCAAATCCTAACTTCTTAGTAATTGATAAGGGCATTAGGCTGACTAATGCTCCCAAATCACAGAGACATTTGTCAAAGAGTAGAGGCCCTAAAGAGCAAGGCAGAGTAAGGGATCCATGATCACCTAGTTTTGCTGGAATGATCTTCTTCTGAGTGATTGCGTTACACTCATTGCTCAACACTACCATGCCTTGTACTTTATTCATCCGTTCCATGACAATGTCTTTCAAGAATTTATGGTAAGGTGGTATCAAGGCGAAAGTATCAATCCATGGCATAGTCAATTCGACTCATTCGAATTGTTTCCTGAACATCTCCTTGTATTTTCTCCATTATCTCTTTTTTGAATCTTCCCAGGAAAGGTAATTGAGGTTTATAAAGTGGGGGAACGAAACAGGGTATTGTTCTATTGTTAGAAGGTTTTTGCATAGCCGGTGGATCCACTCGATTAGGTGACCGATCGGACACTTGATCAACCAGTCGGGTGCTTTGATCGATTGCTTGATAGAGTTGTGGTATAACACTTTTTTTGTTTTGGACTCAATCTGGCACTCGATTGCTCGATCGTTCTGGTTGAATGATTATTGCTTTGAGTGCGCTTAAATCTTCCCCATCTTGGTCATTATTGTCCTCAATAATAGGATGAGGTTGTCGAGTAGGTAATTCACGACCGCTTCGCAATGTAATTGCGTTTGCATACTCCTTTGGTTAAAGTGATTGTAAAACAAAGCTTTTCGCAACGACACCTACCCTCTGATTTAAATCATCAAGCTGAGTGGTAATGGAAGAATAGGAAGAGTTTAGTTGATGTTGAAGGTTGTCTAGAGATTAAAGAATGTCTTATTGGCTGATGGCCAGGCTTCGGTTGAAATTGTTTAAAATTGTCTTTAAATCAAGGTTAACAATTAGTACCGATGGGATTGAGGAGATAGGCTGGAGTTGTGGTGCAGGAGAAAATCCTTTCTGAAACGTGTTCTTGAATTGCTGTGGAATTCCTTCCTAGTGGTAGAAGTAGCTAACTTCATCTATAGCAACACATTCCCCGTCTTGGCCTTTGTCGGAGTTGCAGTGAACAATTTGATGTGCCATGAGTATCCTATCAATCTTATCACTCAAAGACTGGAAGTCCATCTTATACTTCTCCTCATGGTCTGACCTTCCCCTATTGGTTCTATCATACTCCTCATTGTAATTCCCATCAGATTGGGCAAGGTTCTCAACCAGCTCCCATCCCTCATCCACATCTGTGTTTAAGAAGTTACCATGACTTGCGGTGTTGACCAACATGCGGATCTTCGAGAGCACTCTCCTGTATAACGTGCTAAGAAGGGACACCTTAGTGAACCCATGGTGTGGGCATTGAGATTGATATCCCTTGAACCATTCCCATGCTTCACTCAACGTCTCGTTGTTTTCTTAGGCAAAGCTTGAGATTTCATTCCTAAGATGGGCTGTGCGGGAATTGGAAAAGAACTTGGACATGAAAGCACGCTTACACTCCTCCCAAGTGGTTATAGAACCAACATGCAAACCCTTTTCCTATTGGTGAGCCTTGTCTCCGAGTGAGAAAACAAAGAGGCGAAGCTTGAATCCGTCTTCACTTACTCTGTTGATCTTGGTTAATCCATAAAGGTGGTCGAACTCGTCCAAGTGGTCCAACGGGTCTTCCATTGGTAAACCATGAAACTTATTGCTCTGCACCATGGATATGAGGCTTTTCTTAATTTCAAAATTATTATTCTGAACAGCCAGTGGTACTATCCTTGACCTCTAGACATGGCTATTAGGAGAATCTCCTCCACCTATGCGTGTTGCACGCCTTTGATTTGCATTATGTTGAGGATCCATCTCAACGTCAGTTGTTTCCTTTCTTAACTGATGTTTATGATGTCTCAAAGCTTTAGAAAGTCTGTCAATGTTGTCTAGATACTTGAGAAGATTTTGATTGCCTTTAGACCTTGTGTGCATACACGAAATCGAACAGAAGCTTGATCCGTGCAATCGATTAGAGCAGTCAAGTGCTTTGGTCGATTGCTTGATCAAGTGGTACATGAAAAGCAAGACAGATAAGCAGACAAGCAAACCAAATATGTATTCAAAGAGAAAATGTTATAGAACTTAATCTTGCAAAATTGAAATCTAAACTCGAACAACTTAAATGTCCAAATGGAAGCGGTGCCAAATTGATAACATGTTTTCAACGGCTCTTGGTATCAATCACCCAGTATAATTGTAGTATAAAGGGCTTTATCGATCCATAAGGACGCGTGCAAACAGTTCAAGTGCAATCAATATTTAACAAGTTAAGCCAAGTAAGAAAGGTTTTAAACTATCAACTACATAATTTAAATCAATACGAAACTAAGCAAGACACAACATTAAACTAAAACAGAAATGAAACTACAAAAATAAGAACATGCAGTCAACAAGAAATGCAAGAACATAAATGAAGCAAGGTAAATCAATCAATTAAAGGGAAGTTATGTTGATGAGATGATGACTTCAGTGGAGATCTTTAAGTTCACTATGCTGCTAAATCAATCAAACACAAACATTTTTGTTTCCTAGGCAACAAGCTCATAAGCTAACCAATTCAATCTCTTGACAAAGGCTATCAAATTCAAATCACTTCCTAATCTCAATGCTAATTAATGAAAGATGAAATGAATAGGCATAAAGACTTATCTCATTAATGTCAAATAACACCCTTAGACAACCAATCTCTTGGGCTAGACATGAAATTCTCTGATATTAGATTATCCGGCATTCCATCGAACACCTCTTGGGCGTGGAAGCCTGAGAACAAATCACCACTTGATCAGAATGGGATTAGTGTTATATACACTAATCTAGAAGGAAATCTAAACATTTCTACCGATGGGAAACCTAGCTACCTAAAGTTCTCCACCTTCACATCTAACTCATCCCCAAAACCTTAAGAATCTACTTAGATCTGACAAATATACTCAAGAATTCAAACCCATAAATCTCTAAATCATGCATAACTAGATAGATAATGATCTAAGGAGCAAGATAATACAAAGAAGCAACAAAAAATACTCAATAGATCAAAAGATATGAAGTTTACATGATTCTGGAAATTCTAAAGCAAAAATGAAGATAAATCCTAATACAACTCGAGATCCAAAGTCATTAGGCAAAGAGCCTTTTTATAGCAAGTTTAGGTAGCCCTAAAACACTAGCAGACAAAATAGAAAGTCGGTTTAATGGTGCTTGATCGGTCTGCTCGGTTGTGCACTCGATCTGTCTAGTCGGATGACTTGATCGGATGGTTGGTCGAGCTGCTTATGTGGCCCACTCGAACACTCGATCGATTTCATGGCTCGGATCCTCCTACTCGATCGGATGCAACATCTACACTTGGTCGATTTGTCCTGATTTGCTTAATTTCCTTTGGGTAAACACTTGTTTATGCACAAAAACTACAATGCATGCAATGCAAGGTCTAGATTCTACAAGTGAAGCTAAACAAGGCAAATATGCATAAATGATCAAGTAATGAGACCTAGAATGACAAAAACAATGCATAAAACTAGTGCTAAAATGAGTAAAATCCAGACACATCAGGAGACATGATGACGACCAATTTAACTATTGTTTCTCCTCCAGGCTCACGTGGGAACAGCTAAGGATCGATCCACCACCAGCCAGCGGATTGGAGTGCTGTAGTGTGGGTAAAGCAAGGCATCCCACATTGTGCTTTCATTACTTGGTTAGCTATCCGTGATCGTCTCTTGACGGGGCTCGTATGCGGACTTGGGGGCCGGTACAACCGTGTGTGCTCTGTGGAGACGAGAGACCACATGTTCTTTGCTTGTACCTACTCCTTCACAGTTTGGTCCGACCTAGCGGGCAACTTGCTGCACCAACGTCAGGATCCGGATTGGGATATTACTCTTACCGTGCTCATTAATAGTACAGGGGACTTCTTAACTGATATCCTCACCAAGCTTTGCTTTCAGGTTACTATCTATCACATATGGAGAGAACACAACGCACGAATTCATGCGAACGGCTATATCTCACCTGCTCAAATGGTTCGACGACTGGACAAGCTCATCAGAAACTGCATTACTTCTTTGGACTATGCTAAGAAACCTTGCTACCGGAATCCTTTTCAGCGTTGGCTTAGTGTGTCTCTGTTCCTTGTACGACACACCCGATAGACTACTTCAGCTCTCTCTCTCTCTCTTTTTGCCTTAATTTTGTAACTTTTCAACACTACGCTACTAGTTGTACATAACATTTATTTTTTTATAAATCAATTAAAAATTTCATAATATAAAAATTTTTAAACAGATTAATTATATGATGGGACGGGTTGTAAGAGGGCACGAGTTTGACTCAATATATAATACTAAAAATTTAAAATATCATTAATCTCATATTTAATACGGGTAAAATCTTCATTTTAATTTTTGAATAACACTAATATAAGGTATGTATAATCAAACTAATTTAATGTAAATTAGTATTATGCAATCTTAATAATTATAATTATTGTTATATCTTATATATACATATCTCATAATTTGTATCTAGACATGGTTTGAGTGGGATGCTTCGATCGAGCATCTAGTGAAAGCAAACTTTGATGCACTTGCTGCTGCGCGCCTTAGAGGAATGGTTAGCCTTGCAAAATCGAAAGGTGAACAACCTGAATGGATTTTGGGTGACCATTGGAGAACGATGTTAGGTTATTGGAGGACTCCAAAAGCGAAAGATAAAAGTGAGAAAGCACGTTCTTCTCGGCTGTTTAGCCGTGATGGTTTAGGTCCACACCGTCACAGATCTGGATCGCGTTCTTATGCCAAAGTTCAAGATGATTTGGTAAGCTCTAATTTTGGCTGTGTTTTTGTTTTATTTCTAAAAGTTTGAAAATTTTATTTACTTTGGTTAATGTTTTCGTTATAGGAAGCAAACAATGAAGATTCCTCTTTCATTGCGGTGATGAAAAAGACACACCAAAAACCTGATGGAACATATGTTGATGAAAGAGCAAGAGTCATTGCTGAAAAATATGATGAACATGTGCAAGAACGGTTGGAACAAATGGAACTTTCCGATGAAGAGAGTTTGACAATGGATCACCTTACCTTAGAAGAGAAAAATGAAATCTATGTTCAGGTAATTTTTTTTTATCTTACACTTTTATTTTTATAGAAACACACTTATATTCACTCCTCTTTAGAACTTTGGTGGAGCTTTTAGTGTGCAAACAGTTTTTTTATTAAGCATGTTTTGTGATTAAAGATATGTAATTGTCATGCACTTGTAGGTTGCTGGAATTTCAAAACAGGGTCGTGTGTTTGGACTTGGCTCTCTTCAAAACAGGATTTCTATGTCTGTAGATGGTGCGTCGGTTCCCCCTCAATCTACAGGAGAAGTGGAAACATTAGGTGCTCGAGTGGAAGAGCTCGAAACTGAATTGCAAAAGAGTCGTAATGAGAATGTGCTTGTTCAGCAAAGACTTGAAAGTATGGAGCAGATGATCCAATTTTTTGTAGGGCAAAATGGAATACATCAAGCAGCTTCAACATCTCCACAACCTTTTGTAGGTCAGAATGGGGTGAGTTCAGCAGCTACTTCTGCTTCAATTCCACCTTCCGTATTCTCGCCTTCTCCACAAGCTTTCATGGGGTTTAGGTCATTTGCTCGTACCACATAAGTTTGTTTCGTTTGTTTTGTTTATGCTTTTCCCCAAACTTAAGTTTCTTTGGTTCTGTTTTTTGTTTCGTTAGTTTGTTTATGTTTTTCTCCAGACTTAAGTTTCTTTGGTTCTGTTTTTCTAAGGATAGACAAATTATCTACGAATGCTTTTTATAAAACTAGTTTGTTTATTTGACTTTTGGTAATTATTTTGCATTTTATTTTATTATCATTTATTTTAAATGAAATTTTGATTATTATGTATGATTGTAACAAACGATTTTCAAAAGAATAGTGACAAATGTTAGACGCTAACTTTGTGCCAAATAAGTAATTTTTTTTACCAACTCGTAGCAATAAAATGTATCAAAGTTGGGACAGTGACATAGTCACAAATTAGGATTGATATTTTAACGTCTTTTGTAGTCACCACTTATGACAATGTGATACTATAGTTTTCGTCTTAATCCCTGACGTATTTTATAATGTTATAATAGTCATTAATTATTACATTTTTGAGGCGATAAGTTTAGTTAGTAATTAAGACAAATAAGTGACCATTCTTTAGTCGTCTCTTGTAACAATTGGTGACTGTTATTTTTGTGGTAAATAATTACGTACATGTCACGTTATGATAGTAACAAAATATGATGATTCAAAGACAATTAATTTTGTTAGTATTAGTTACGTTTTTGTTACTTTTACATTTTGTCACACAGAGTAACGAAATTGTTACTACATATATACGTAGTAATATTGTGACGGTTTTGATACAAATATTTTTTGGTGACGATTGTATTGCAACTATTAAAAATTGTCTTATTTTTGTCACAATATTTATATTGTGACGAAAGTTTAAACATTGAGACGAATTTTTTTGTATCAATATAATTATTTTCCTGTAGTGTTATTAAATAAACTCCAATAAAATCTGTAAATTTCAGAAAATATGAATTAAAAAGAATATTTTTTATACGCCGCAAGTTAAAATATAGTTTTAAAATAGAAGTTGATACTCATGTTATTCAATTAGGAATTAGGAATATCTTTTTCATAATGTCTCTAGTAAAGGTATATATAGGTGAAATCGCTTTATTGGAAAATTCATACTAAGTATTTTGCAATTTTTAAAAACATAGATTCTTATTTATTCAATTTTTTTGCTGTCACTTTTTTAATCACTCAAGAAGAATAATTTATACTTATTTAATTTTAATGAAGAATAACCTTTTTAAAGTGAAACATAAGAATGTTTGTATTACATCATACCAACATGATCAAACAAAGCACCATGATCTTATTGAATCTTGATCACACTGGTGATGCCAAAAAATATTGGTACGCTTTGACCACTCCAACAACTGCACCAGTCACAACCACCATGGCTGCCACACCTTCAACCACTGTCTTCCTCCATAGTCTTTGTCTCAATGACCCAAACTTGCTATTAAATTCACTTGCACAGTTTGGTGAATTTCTCATATCAGCACCTGCTTTAGGGTGTGATGTGGATCCCTTCAAAGCAGCCAAGGGACTAGCTGTTATAGAGCTTGTCTTTGGCATTGTCACATACAAAACTCCCTTTGAGAACTTTGCACGAATCTCATTTCTTCTACAATTTTTCGCAACTTTTGTTTCTTTCTTGAACCTGATTGATTTATTTTGATCTACTGGACAGCCTCCTGTTATTGTTAGCATACCATTGTTGTTGATCTGTATTTTAAGATGCTCTTTCTTCAAACCTATACAAACACCAAATCCATTTTTCAGTAATAAAAAATATAATATTTGTTTTTTAGGTCAACCCTAAAATTGAAGTAAATAATTGATAATGTGTCCTAAACCGTAGAAAAAGAGTTTATATACGACTTATTTAAATTCCTAGCTAGATTGAGCACTACTAACCAAATAAATAGCATGGAATCAAAGAAAGCTAGAAGCAATGTACCATTGTGGAAGCAAAGTATAACTATAATATCTTTGGAGAGATTGAGAAGCAAAGTTGCACAATGTGGAATAAAGATTCTGAAACAATAATCTTATGCTATGAAATTTTGATTTAAAATGTAGCAAATTGCAATGTAGCTTAACAATAGAGTGACTAATTATAAGTGTTTCTTTTTTCTTAGGTAGAGTTGAATATATAAGTTTTTTTTTTTGGTTCTTCCATCGAAAGATTATGTTAATATATAGTTTTTATGTTAAACAATTAGAATGTATCATTGAATTACAATTATACAACTTCATCTTTAATAACGAACTAACAATTTAATCTACCTGAAGGAAGATGTAGCTCAAGAATGTCGATGTCTTCAGTTCTCTTCCATCGACAAAAGGGTTCGATTTCATCGTAAAAATGCATGGCTCCACCTTCCATATTTAGAGCCATTTGTTTCCCAAAATGTCAATGAAAAAAAAACAAAATATTTCGAAGACTCTCTCTTTCTTTAGTTTCTATTTTTGTTGGTAATGAATGATTTATGATTGTGAAGATGACCGATCTAATAGCTTCGTTTTATATTCCTTTTCTTTTATGAGCAAGAAGAGTTTCTTATTGGATTACCTATGTATGAATGATTCGTTTACTACTTATAAAGTTTTGCTCTTTCAAGTTTATATTTAGTTGTGTCTTATGAAGTTGGTGTTCCTTCACGTGCACAAATCTTTGTCTATGTGGTTCTAAAAGATTCTTTATTCTTTTCATGTTGTTCTTTTTTTTTTCCTATTGCTTTGTTACTTTACACAATATAATGAAAACTTAGGTGGTTACTGATTTATCACATCCTTTCAAGTTTCATTACGAAGATATATATCAAATGAATATTATGGTAGCCCCTTATCGTATAAAAAGCTAGACCACAGTTTGGTGTTTTCACGTGTTTTCCATATCATCTCACTTTTATTAGGCCTGACGGCCTGAACATTTGGGTACTTGGATCGGATAAGAATTGTTTTGCGACGAGTATTTTGGATCGAGAAGTTTAGGACCCAATAAAATAAATGTAAGTTTGGTTAGACATTTTTAAGATATAAGTTCTTACAACCGCTAAAACCTTTATTTTATCGGGTACATAAATATTTGGAATTTACCTGAGTATCTTAAACTTTTAAGGTAAATGTTTGGATTTTCAGATAAATACTTAAATTTTTGGATAAATACACACATTTTTTTTAATTAAAATTGGGAATTTTAGGTAAACATTTGGGTATTCAAATTTATAATACTAGTATTCAGATAAAAAAAATTATTTATATGTAGTTATATTTTGGTTTTTTTGGGTTCGAGCCGAGTTCGGATTTAGATTTTTGGATAAAAGAGTTTATGAGCCACTAAAGTAAATTTTAAATTTTGGGTTTGGACTCACATCTAATTTTTTGGATTAAATTAAATATTGAATTTTTAGTGAATTCTATTAACGTTTCGGTTTCATGTACGTTAAAGTTCAAATTCGGTTCGAATAAATTGGGACATAAAACTTCGATATTACCGTTTGGATTATCCTAACACTAGTATTATACCCGTGCTATGCACGGACATTACAATATTTCTCCAAACACTATACATAACAAAAAATTACATGTATAAATAACTCAAGGCTTCAACTAAAACAAAAATAATAACATAGAAGACTTATAAAACAAATGAGTATGCATAAAAGAAACATTAACACACCATCATTAATTAACAACAAACATATGAAAACTTGTTGATATAATAAATATAGAGTACTAATATTAAAGATGTTCTTTATGTCATGCTCTTCATGAATTTCTTCTAATTCTTAAACTGATCAATAAAAAAATCAGTTACGATCTACATCTGCACAAAATCTTACAAAACAAATAAAAGCTAAAAATGAGCATGTAACACAAAAACATGTGAAGGCAAATCAACATTATTTAATCAAACCATGGAAACAATAATTAGGTGATCAACTTCATTTTAATCCTTAAGAAAAAGTGATATTTATTACTTAACATATGCTATACTTTCTAAATCTAAATGACATATATGATAAGATATACATCAGACATGGCTAAATCTAAATGACATATATTAAATATGTCAATGGAAATGGCATGTTCATTTACAGAATAACATATATGCATAGCCACACATATTAATTTGAAGAACACATGTAGAGCAAAAGAAACGTGTAGCATAATGCTTCCTAAAATTTCAGAAATTTCCAACCATTCTTGAGAGTGAAACTTTTCTTTTTTGAGAGAAAAATGTCGTACTACAGAAACTGTGAAACTAATTTACCGAGAAACCTGAAAAAATTGATTTAGAAATATAGCCATAATACCTTTGTTAATTTTGTTTTCGACTTTTGATTGCAACATTTTCAACACTCATGTTTGTCTCGCCCCTACAATCATTAATAAACCAAGTCTTTATGATGAAAAACTGAAGTATTGTAACCAATATATATATTCAGAGAAAAAGTGACAAAGTACTCACCGTATAAACACTTTAGTGTTATAGCTAGTTCTGATCTTCCATTCTTTTTTCAATGAATTTGGATGTGAAAGATGGGTATAATCCAGAGGCATCTCCCAACTGGATATATAAACATCATGATATGAGTTGAAGAATAAATATATGAATATGAACAAAAATTTAAAAATTTACCTCCCTGAAAATTGTTACTGTAATTTAGAAGATCAACCCAGAAAAAAAAAGAGGATTATAGAGGAAACATATTTTAGAGGAGCAACCCAAAAAACGATAGAAAACAGATGATTACAAATAAAATAAAAAAAAGTTAATTGGGATTTAAATAGAAGAGCAATCTCTTAGAAATTCACCTTGAACGTGGAGATGTTAGTGGGAGAAAAATTAGGGATAGGTGGTTTGCTGGAACGAAGAAGATGATAAACAACAAAATTAGTTCTAGGGGTTTAGAAATTGTCGTGGACCTTATTATTAGTCCAATAAAACATTTGTAACAAAGAAATTTGGTTCAGTTTTTTTTGCTAATGTTTTTTTTTGGTAGTTGGCGTTTTCTTTTTTTTTAATGTTTCGTGGGTGATTTTTTTTTTAATTAGAAAAAATAGAAAATCTGATGTGGCTTAATTTTACTGGCCAGTTGACTTGTGTTTTATAGTATAAAGGATTCGGTTCGGGTTTCTTTCAATTAATTTCGGTCCGGTTTGGTAACAACCGTACGGTTAGGTAATTTTACCCAACCCAGATCATAAATCAAATCCATAAAACGCTACCGTTTAAACTCGCTTCAATCCCCACCATTCCTTAAGCCTAAAAGATTCCTTCGAAATCCCCAATTCGAAACCCTAGCTAACACCATAATCAAATCCACTTCATCAGAAATCAAAGATGGCTATAGCACGAACTGGAGTTTACGTTGACGATTATCTCGAGTGTAAGATCCATAAATTTCATATAAATTCGGATTTAATTTTTTCATTTAATTCAGAAATCGTAAAAATTCGAATTCTTGTAGATGCAAGCACCTTCCCAGCAGAGCTTCAAAGACTTCTTAATACAGTTCGTGAACTAGACGAGAGATCTCAATGTAAGATCTTTATTACTTAACATTGTTCTCTCTTGCGTATGTTTTCGTGAATTTGATTGTTATTGTTGTGTGTTTTTGTTGTTTGAAGCGCTTATAAATCAGACAAGGCAACAAACTAAGTATTGTTTAGGTCTTGCCTCACAGAGTTCTAAGAAGGGTAATGGTAATCATTACAGTAATGGGATTGATGAAGAGGAAACAATTGAGAAAATGCGTAAAGAGATTGAGTCTAGTCAGGAGAATGCGTTGAGTTTGTGTACCGAGAAGGTCTTATTGGCCCGACAGGCGTATGATCTTGTAAGTTCATTGAGAATTTAGCTTAGACATTGTAATTATGATTTGTTGTTTGTCACAAAAACACTAGCATGTAATGGATGTGTTTCGAACATGAATAGAGCGTTGATACACTCAAAATCTTGAATATGGGGGACTTTGTTTGTATGATCTTGTAAGTTCCTTGAGAATTTAGCTTAGACATTTAATGTTGTGACTATGATTTGTTGTCTGTCACAAAAGCACTAGCATGTAATGGATGTGTTTGTAATGTGTACGAAGATGAATAGAGTGTTGATACACTCAAAATCTTGAAAGTGGTGGACTTTGTTTTGTTGCTAAATTAGCTTATGTGGTTGTTTTAGCCAATTTTATTGTGGTGTTGATTATTATGTTTGTTTCGGTTACAGATAGATAGTCATGTAAAACGGCTTGATGAAGATTTGAATAATTTTTCAGAAGATTTAAAGCAAGGTATGTGATATCATCCCATGAACTTTCTAATTACTGTTGTCTTAAGGGAATTGATTAGAACTATGTTTTCTCATATATAATGGCTAGTTTCACAAATTATACCAAGAATTACGTAAAGATGTGGGTCAATTGATTTGATTGAGATTAGTCGGTTGGTAATTGATTGAGAATGTCATATTAGGAGAGAATAGGGAGCTAATTGATTATCTCCTTCTTTTTACTAAGAGGTTTGATGAGAAGCATATGAGGTAGGGAGTTGTCTTTGTGTAAAAAAGGCAAGGTTTACACCTTGTTGCAGGATACTCTTGGGTATTCTTGCGGCAAGAGTAAATTAAATCTATTGTGAGGAATCGGTGTGTTTGTCTTGTTTTGTCAATAAAGGGTCACAGTTTCTTGTATCTCTTATAAAAATTCCTCTATAACCCCCTAAGGGTTAGCAAAAACATGCATTACACATGTATAAACTCCAGTCAGTGCACAATGACTAGTGTCAATCTTCAGAGAAACATAAATGCTCATCTTCCATCTTGTCATAAATCATAAGTGGCCTTAATTTCATTTTTCTCTAGTGGTCATATGGGAAACTTTTTAGCTGATGCTTTGAATGGAGTAGTTAAAGCTGTTTTACAGCATCCTCTATGTTTGTCATATATTTATTCTTTCGTTGCACTTCTCGGTCAGAGGGAAAAATTCCACAAGACGAGCCCTCTGTTCTTCCTCCTCTACCTATAGTTCCTAAACAGGAAAAGCGTAAGTCCATCTATGGTACACCTCAGTCCAAGAAGATTGATTACAGAGATAGAGAGTGGGATCGTGACAGGGATTTTGAGCTCATGCCTCCTCCAGGAAGCAATCGGAAAGACCTCACACCTATTGACGAGCAGGCAATTGATCCAAACGAACCAACATACTGTGTCTGCCATCAGGTCTTTAATCTGCAAAATCTGTGAGTTGTCTGATCCTGTTTTGATCTTCTGTTAACACTTTTGTCATGTTTTTTAATTCAGGTGTCTTTTGGAGACATGATTGCCTGTGACAATGCGAATGTGAGTCTCTTCTACTGTTATCTTATCTTCTCTTTTTAACGTTTAGCTTTTCTGAAACCATGCTTTCCTGTTTGGACAGTGCCAAGGAGGTGAATGGTTTCACTATACATGTGTTGGCCTCTCACCTGAAACCAGATTCAAAGGGAAATGGTATTGTCCCACCTGCAGGCTCCTCCCACAGTCGCATTAATAATATTAACGCCTGCGAAAAGGTATTTTGCGTTAATTTTAGCATCAATCATCAGAGCTCCTCCTGCAATTTTCATGCATGTGTAGCTGCTAATATAAGACAGATATGTATATTAATTCTCATAGGTGCCAATGGGCATCCTCTTTAGCACCTTCGCTTCATGACCAATCTCATCTTTGTTGCTACGGAACATGAAGAAGTAAACTCTAGAAGTAGTTTTTTTTTTTTCTTTGGACTAACTGAGTAAACTCTAGAAGTAGTTAACATCATGTTTTTGTACACTCGTGTTTAAATCTTGGAATATATGATTGTATTGGGTGTTGATGGGTATTTTCCTTTTTATTCTTCTTTCGTTCTATGTTTTTTGTCATCTTCTTTTTGTTTACCCCAAAAGCAAGTCTAAAATCAGTGATTCATGCACGAGATGTCTAACTTCTAGATGGCCAAAATCGATTCACAAAATTCTACAGATGTGACTTCGGTATATTCGGTTAGTTCGGAATTTGAAAATGTTACCGAATTAAATAACGGTTTGGTTTGATTATTGAATTTTTTCGGTTATTTATTTTGTTACTAAAATTAGCCGAATATTCGGATTTTGGTTTAGATCTGAGAAAAATGACAATTCAACCCTGAACTTGTTGGTCAACGCCATTTAAACCCTCAATTTTGCCTAACGCCATTTAAATCGTGTAGTTTTGTTTGACTATCATTGTAAACATCACATTTTATTAACCAAGCCAATTTACACATATGGGTAACTTTGGTCAATTTTGGCTAGTTAGGTTAATCCGGATAGTCTAATGTAGGGATAAATTAAAAAGACATTGGTTTACTGTATATCAGTTATATCAACATTTTTGGTTAATTTAGTCAATTGTTCTGTTATCAGCTACTGAACCGAACCAAATGGTAAACCACACAATTCATATGTTGTTGGATCAGTGTACATGCTATAATCAAACCTGAACCGATTTACACAAACCTCGGTTCGATCGGGTTTTTGCTTTGTTTGTCATTTACCATTGCAACAGTACAGTACATTAACTGGGGCCTTTAGCTCTGGTGGTAAAGGAGCCTCAGCTGGGGTACCCGCCATCACGAGTTCGAGTCCCGGCCACTGCAGACTTTACATGTGGGTTGCAGCACCCCAGACCACTAGTTTCAAGGGGCCCTTTAGTGGACGCTTAATAATCCTTGATCGCGGGCTTAAGCCCAATTGGCTAGTCAGATCACTGTGTGGTTTGGACACTGGGTTATAAAAAAAAAACAGTCCAGTACATTACCTTCTTTGAATTATAAATACGCATTTTTTTCTGTATCTATTGGTCAACCTAAGTAGTATAATAAAATTCAAATTCAAATCTAATAAGACCAAGATAACATTTATTTGTTCACGGATATTCACATAGTCTCTCACCTAATTTGAAAATGCAGATCACTAGATCTAGAGAGAGAGAGGGGATGGGTCTTAATGCAACCAATAATAAAGAGCGGTGAGATTTCGTGTAGCGAAAATTTGAATTTCAATCTACGATCTATTTTTTTTGGTTTAAGTAAAAAAAGATTCATATTACAGATGGCGACAAATTACATTGGAAAAAGACAAAACAGCTTCAACAAAGTAAAAGAAGCGGACACACACATACACACAAAGACCAAAAACCTAAAACCCCCAAAAACATAATTTGAAAAAATGTGTTATCTGTTGAACCGCGGGATTTTAATTTTGTAGATTTCGCAGTTTCAGCCACACACCATTTTTGTTTCGTTCTTAGGTTTTCACTTTGCTTCTATGCTCGATTTCTTTTGCTTTTTGAATTCTCAGAAGTCTTTGAAAAAGGTTTCGACTTTGTACGGTTAAAGCGGAAGAAGAAGTAGCTCAAGTAGAAGACTCAGGTATGGATCTGTTTCCGAGATTCATGGTTTATGTGTTTTATAATGTTTGCTATTTCTCAGGTTTCGAATTAGATGTCTTGTTTCTCTATGTCCGAGATTCACGGTTCTGTTGTCTGTTTTTTTTTTTTGTCTGACTCGAGATTGTTTTGAGCGGAAAGTGTTGAGATTTGAAAACCTAGCTTTAAAGTTTATGATTTGAAGGGAAAATCTGATATTGTTGGTGTGGTTTTGTCTTATGTAGTGCTGTTGGAGTAATGGGTTTGTCTTGAATTTTTGCTATATTCTCGTGAAGTTGTCTGATTTCAATTTGTTGTCTGTCTGGTTCTCATTTTCCTCGTATATGGTCTTTATATCGGTTCTGACTCGAGTATTCAAGGATGAGATTTGAATTGTAGCTTAAAGTTTATAACTTTAAGAAATAAGTCTGATATTGTTGGTGTGATTTTGTCTTCTGTGGTGCAGTTGGAGTAATGGGTTTGAATCTGAATCCAGTTTTGCGACAAGAGTTAGCTAATCTTGACAAAGACACAGAGAGTCGTAAATCAGCAATGAAAGCACTTAAGTCTTATGTGAAGGACTTGGATTCAAAGGCTATTCCTGGTTTCTTAGCACAAGTCTTTGAGACTAAAGAAACAAACTCTTTATCTGGTGAATACACGATTTCGCTTTATGAAATACTTGCTCGTGTTCATGGACCTAACATTGTTCCCCAGATTGATACAATCATGTCTACCATTGTCAAGACTTTGGCTTCAAGTGCTGGTTCTTTCCCTCTTCAACAAGCTTGTTCCAAAGTTATTCCTGCGATTGCTCGGTATGGGATTGATCCGACGACTAAAGAAGATAAGAAACAGCTTATAATCCACTCCTTATGTAAGCCTCTTACAGATTCTCTATTAGGTTCTCAAGAGAGTCTCACTTCAGGGTCTGCTCTATGTCTTAAGGCTCTTGTGGATTGTGATAACTGGCGTTTTGCTTCGGACGAGATGGTGAATAGGGTTTGTCAAAATGTTGTAGTTGCATTGGACTCAAACTCCAACCAAACACATCTTCAGATGGGTCTGGTTATGTCACTTGCCAAACATAACCCTTTGATCGTTGAAGCTTATGCAAGGTTGTTGATACACACAGGATTGCGAATTCTGAGTTTCGGAGTATCTGAAGGTAACTCGCAGAAACGGTTATCAGCAGTTCAAATGTTGAACTTCCTAATGAAATGCTTGGACCCGAGAAGCATATACTCTGAAGTTGAGTTGATAATCAAAGAAATGGAGAGGTGCCAATCTGATCAAATGGCTTATGTTAGAGGAGCTGCTTATGAAGCAATGATGACTTCAAAAAGAATAGCAGGAGAGCTCGAGTCGAAGATGGAGAAAGGTTGTCGTTCTGTTACTGGTTCGAATTTCAGTCGAAGAAACTGTTCATCCAATGTTAATGGTCATTGTCCTGATGACTCCTTATCACCTGAATCACAGACTGTAGGCTCTTTCAGCGGATATGATTCTCCGGTTGAGTCCTCGCCTATTTCTCATACTTCTTGCAACTCTGAATACGATAGGCGGAGTGTGAATCGCAAACATTGGAGGCTTGATCAGAATGGAGGAGGTGTTGATATCTCTTTAAAGGATGGTTTTTTCTCCGGTGTAACTAAAGGAAGCACCACTGTCTCTGATTCACCTCTTGTACCGTATGATACTTGTGAAGATGGAGATGAATTTGAAGGGTTTCTAATGCAAAGTTTGAGAAACACCACTCCTAGTCCTCAGGTGAGCATTAATCTATATTTTGTTTTTATGATTGCTAGTTTCATTTGTGTTTCATTTGTGTTAAACATTTCTGACTTTTTTTTATCCGCAGAGACAGCTTTCACGACGCATCAATGATGAAGACTTCAACATCTTCACTACTCCACGGAAGCTCATAAGCTCTCTTCAATATTGTGATGATGTTGACTTTAATCATTCAGACATCCAAAGTCCAATATTAGGAAACGGTAGAGACAAAACCATTGAATCTCGCAAGAATCCTAAACTCAGAAGGAGATTTCCAACCATGTCGGAAACAATGTCATCAACAGTCACATTTAGTGAAGACACACCACAAACTCATATGATAACAGGTAGTAAGAAAAATATGAGCTATGCCAAATTTGTTATCGCGATATCTTTTGTTGCTGTGGCTCTCTTTACAGCTGTGGTGTTTATGGTGAATCAAGATGATGGTGTTGGTTATTACACTGTTCCTACATGATTTAACTCTTATTGGTGGTCAGTTTAATCTTAATGTAGTTTAGCTATCCACGTGTTGGTTGTTTGTAATGAACTCTGTACAAGAATTTGAATCTTCTTCTACTTGTTCTCATTTTGTTTTTGTATGAAAAATCTGTTAGATTAAACATGTTTGTATATTTGTGGCAATGGTGATATATGTGACATCGGATCGGCTATTTCGAATTCGGATTCGGATTGCCCAAAGTTCCCAAAACTCAAAACTACTGAAAAATATTTAAACTATCTCAAAACTAACGGTAGTTTTACCCAAATTTACTCGATAAATTAGTTAAATACTCCAAAAATATTAAAATATACAAACATCTAAATATTTTAAATATACAAACATCTAAATATTTTGGGCAACATATATATTATAATCTTCTATCTTCTATATATATAAAGTTAGCTTTTCTCTCTTCTCATGATCCCACTCTAAGCATCCACCTAAGCAACATTTTTTATTTTACACTAAAATAAATTTAAAATATGTATTTAATGCGTACTTATGTTACTCATAATTAATAGAAAATTTATACAAATAACAATTAAATTATATGAAACAAATGAAATGTTAAAATAAGAAAACAATAATATAATTTTTTATTAGTGGTAATAATATAATTCAACTTTTAGATGTGTTATTTTAGAATGGAAGTAAATTTTAAATTCATGTTAGAATAATACAACATTTATGTAATCGTATATATAAAAATTTTAAACATTAAAAATCAAACTGAAATTGAAATATTAGTTTATAACATGATCAAAAAGAAAAAAAATGATATTTCATAAATTGAATCAAATGCTTTTAATCCAAATTTGAATATTGAAAAGTAGTAATTAATTAAAGAAAAAATAGTTATAATATGTTTTGAAAATCAATATAGTCTAATATATGTTATATGTGAGCCAATAAAAAGTGAAAATAAAGTAGATGTCGAAAGGCAATGAGTGCATAGTAGATAATAACTAAAGAATTATAGTCAAACGTGTTTAAAATAAATTACTAAAACTTGAAAAGATAATAATGCACATGAATAAATTAAACTCTTTGAAAATTCATTCATTCCTTTATCCTGACAGTTTTTTAATACACAATCTCAATTCATTCATTCATTCATGCACATGCAAATATCAACCTAAACTCGCAAAAAAAATTCAAGTTGTTAACCTCAATTATATGAAATTAGCCAAGTTCAACATCTCTCGAAACAACGACCATGAGTCAAATGACAGGGTGGCAATAACAAGACGTCAAGGGTGAATAAAACAAATTGTGTTCACTTGCACATAACAAAACAACGTTTTTTTTAAAGGACTATTATTAAGGAGAAAATAGTTATGATATGTCTTCAAAATCAATTCACACTCCAATATATTTAAATAGATATAAGAGCCAATAGAAATGCAACGAATTATATCTATGTCAGTCTATAATGTTGTTTTTATACAAGGTGAGCTTATTAAATGCATACATACATTTAACTCTTTAGTTTGTGAGGGTTACACGAATTGAAGACTTCTTAAATATATGGTTGTATATATCACCTACTATTGAGCCTAATCTATACTATTAAAGCTGAAGTACCCATCAGATTTACACTATAGTTTTCAACTGAAATAAAATACACTTATTCGGATATATCATTTTTGGATCTTTGAGTGAATCAGATATTTCTCCAGCAGATTATATCATTTCCATATTTAGTTTTGATTTTCCTAAAATATCTCTACCTAATTTAATATAATATAATATATTAAAAATAATTATTATTCTCCTTTCACATTGTTATGATCATGTTTATATTTTATTTATTTTATTACATTAAAAATATGAATTAATAAAAATAGCATTTTTTGCATATGTTGTAATTTGAATTATTTAAAACGGACATATAAATCTCAATCGATAAAACAAGGCTGATATATTCAACCTACATCAGCTATAAAATTTTAGAAAATGGTTCAGAATCATTATAAACTAGTTTTTGACCCGCGGTATGTAATATAGATTGTTTGTGAATGTATATAGATATGTTTTTATATATAGATGTATTTTATATTTTTTATATAAATTTGAATACGTGTTTGTGAATAAAATGAAATTTATAGCACAAAAAATAAAGTTTTTATTTATGGTTTATATTCCTTGTTACGTTAGTGAACGCACTTAGTATATATTTAACTATTTTTGGTTTCGGGTATTTAATTTTTTTTTTTGCTATGGTAAGCATTAGTAACCGAGTAAACCGGAGAATAAGACAGTGAAAAAATAATGATGGTTTAATGGGTTAAATTAAAGAAGTTAATTCATTGTGATTTCCTTTTATCTCGTACATCTTTTCTGATTCCACTTAGTTGAATTCGATGAACACTAAATCAGGTTCCGTTCGATGAAATCTTTCAAAAGCAAAGAAATCTACACTTACCCACACCTAAATCCGGTTCCGTTCCTTAATTGCCGAGAATCACGATCGATTTGCTTGTAGATCCTTGAAGTTTTATCTTCTGTTTGAAGCAGCTAGTTGGGTATAATTTCCATTTCGACGATTCCGCTTCACACAATCGATCGTTTCCCAATATCTAGAGGTAAAACAGTTTCTGAATTCTGTAATCCTGTTGATTAGATTAGTAATACATCTTTCCTCCAATTGTAGTTGTGCACTTCCTAAGCTTTTTTCAAAACTGATTTTTCTGATTGTGGATCGTTTAATTTTCTTTACGACAAAGTAGGTAATTTGAGAAATCAGTTTTGAGAGCTACTGAAGTTAGCGTTTCAGGTTTACGGAATGAACCATTCAATATTTGGATATTTCTTATGAATGTAGAATAGTAAAACTCCATTGAAGAGTTTGTGAACAAAGTGTTAATATAATAGATATGTAATATTACCGTATCTAGTAGTTGAGTCGGTTTGTTAATGGAGATTGTTTAAAGATTTTGGTCTCTGATGTGTTCACCATATCACTGGAAATGGAAGCGCTTTAGTATTTGCTGGAGTTTAATTTCAATGATGATATGCTTATTTTATGCGCTTAAATAAGGTCAGACTTGGGTATTAATTCAATCAATGAACTTTTATGTTTCTAGACTATATGAATGTAGCTTATATTTGCATTCGTGAAGATTCTGATTTGAAATTTTATATTTTGAATTGCAGGTGCAGCGGAACATAATATCACATAATGAAGGTTAGATTCTTTAAATCTTCCAGCTTAGTTTCAGTAGGTGGCGATTTTTGTTGAAATAGTATTTCTGGTGTTGTCTTAAAGAGCTAGGGGAAACAGTTAAACGGATAAATGAATCTAATAATAGTTCATTAACAGGAAATAAGAACATCCTTTAAGAAAAGTAAACATAAAGGTGCTTGTCCCATGGTATTAAACTTTAAAATTATTGCTTGAAGTGTAAATAATGGAATTGTTTAATCAACATTGATCATTACTCTTGAATCAAGAGTCTTGATCTTTGACCTCCACGTTTGTCCTCTGAATGTGTTAGCCGAACCCTACAAATAATTAGAATCCTTTTAGTCAATGTGGTGTTTAATATGGATCTGGTTTACACTATTAGGCATGTAATGTACCCGAAATTATAGAGAAACGAATATAACCTTGTCCATTGATGCTCCCACACTCTCTGACTCGATGTTAGTCAGTTCATATTTTCGAAAACTTCCTTGAAAATAACATTTGTTGTTTGTTTCTGAATCTTCCCTCTTTGTCTAGAATTATTATTTTCAATCGTTTCTTCAATTTGGGAGCATGTAATGATAGAATTCAAAGCAATTACCAGTTCATCAGAGAGAATCATCTCTAACGTTTCACCAGTGTCTTGTGTGTATTGGCGCCAGGAATGGAGCATCTTCACTTGAACTCTCCATGCCGTATGGGCGGACGTCCTTGAGGAAAGCAAAGGTGGCCGCCATTGATGAGATGGAAGTGAAAGCAAGTTTCAGTAAGCTGAATGATTGTTTGTGAGTGTGATGGGTTTTTTTCGTTACAGAAGCTCACTATTTATAGTAGTTCGATTAGTGTATAATTTAGTTTTGATTTCAGTTGAAGAATCAAGGTAGAAATCGAATAAATAGCGTAATTCCGGGTATATAGTAATCATTGCTGATTTTATTCGATTAAGTGATTTTAATCTGTTTTAACTGAAGATAATGACAATGAATTAATATAAATTGAGTTGTTTATCATGCAGGGATATATGGATAGTAGTTGCGATCCTTCCATAAGTTGGGAAGCACAATTTGCGTGATTTATGGGTTTTTGATGAGATTTTCTAAATGAAGATATTGACAGAGAGATATGTAGAGATCTTCGGTGATGGCGGAGGTCACGCAGAGTTGACAAACAGTTGGGCTTAATTTCTTTGGGCTTCGATTTTTTTTTGGGTTCTAAGTTTGTTTGCGAAATTTTTCTTTTTTAAAGTTTTAAAAAATAAAGCCAGTGGCAGAGGGTTGGAAATAAGTGAGCAAAGTGAGGGTTTTTTCATAAGTGCCTTTAAAAATGTTAATATAGATAGGACTGATATATTCAACCTACGAATATACCGGAAGTTTGATTTTTCAACCGTCCAAAATTTAATTTTTTATTCGGTTTAATTCGATTCTTTATTTGAGCAAATTAAATCTTTCAAAAGTTTCAAAATATTATAATATTTAATTTTAAAAAAAAATTCAAAGTATTATAAATATTGAAACTTTAGAGTATTTAGTTTTGAATATTTTAGCTGAAATATCAAATAATACTCTACTAAATTTTTTGAAAGATATTTGTTTTAAAAAAAAGTTTATTCAATTACACAATAACATATAAACGAATTATACATGTCAAATTTAGAAACATATATGTAATGTTTTTGAACTCAAATAGGATTTTAAACGGGGTCCTCGGGTCACTAGGCTAACCGGGTTCGACCAAAGTCAATTGATTAAAAGTTTTATTTATTTTTATATAGATTATGCAGTTTTATAAATGGAAAATAAAAAATAACTATATCATGTTAAACCAAATATGTAGTCTAACAGTAATAATAAATTTCTTAAATTTTTAAAATTCAAATGAAACCAAAAGAACAGTAATAATACATCAAGAGTTTACGGTAACCAATTTTAATCGTATGTATTATCGTTTGAGAAATAATAAAAATATTATGACTTCTAAAATCTGGCCAGTCCAATTGGTTCATATGGTCGTGGGTTAACGACAATTTTTATAGTTTTTTCAGTTATAAGATTATCGGTTATTTGTACTAAACTTAAAACAGAAAATATCCAGTTTTCGGATCGCAGATTAACCAGTCGAACCGATCAGTACAGTTCGGAAGTGAAAAAAATTAGATTTATCAAAAACTTACAATATAAAAAAATAAACACAATCTAAAATAAATTAATATTTTGAAAATAAATACAGTTATAATTTATATATTAACTTTTCGAATAGATGTCACCCGTGCACGGGTTATCCTCTAGTATACAGTTAAACAAATAACAATAAACATTTAAAATACTAAATTAATGTAAACTTTTAATAAAGCTCATATGGAAAATAGAATAACAAAAAATGATAACAATAAAAAACCAACAAAACAAACGTTGTAAAAATAACAAAAAAAATCAAAATATATTTTTTTTTATAAACTTCCGTAGCCCGGATCAACAACTACTATTATTATAAGTTGACATTTCAATACATTGACTTCGATTTGTTTCCATACATAATGTTTCTTTGTTTTTTACCAGAAAATTAAAAAGAAAAATGAAAACTTAAAAACCCTGAAGGGTCTTTTTAATCGGTCACTTTGGAGCCATACATAAATAACAATACGTCCTTTCATTTTCCCATTTCTTCCTCTCCGCTTCTTACTTTGTCTCGCTGTGTCCTTAACAAAGGTATGATGAAACTTGCATGAATCTACTACTACTTGCGACTTACCTTGATCATGAGAATCTTCTAGTTCTGTCTTTCTTTGAATTTCAATATATGATTTGTGCAATTTATGAAAAATATTGCTCTTGGCCTTTCACCCTTGATTAGTACAAGTCAGCTCTCCCAACATGGAATGTAACAAGGATGAAGCTAGAAGGGCAATGGATATAGCTGAGAGGAAAGTTTCAGAGAATGATTACATTGGAGCCAAGAAATTTGTTAACAAAGCTCAGATTTTGTATCCTAATCTTGATGGTTTGAAACAAGTGTTGATGATGATTGATGTTTATATCTTTGCATCAAACAGAGAAGCTGACTGGTACGGAGTTCTCAGTGTAGACCCTTTGGCTGATGATGATGCGGTGAAGAGACAATACAAGAAGTTGGCTCTTTTGCTTCATCCTGATAAAAATAGGTTTAAAGGCGCAGAAGGTGCGTTTAAGCTTGTTTCACAAGCTTGGTGTTTGTTATCTGATAAGGTCAAGAGAACTGCGCGCTTATGATCATAAGAGGAAGACGAAAGAAGCAAAGAATCCACCAAACCCACCACGCAAGCCTGCTTCTCACAATGTGAATACAAGTGCTAGAGGAGGTGTGGATACGAGTGCTGGGGCTACAAGTGCTAAGCCTGCTTGTGGGATGCCAAAACCACCAAACCCACCACGCAAGCCTGCTTCTCACAATGTGAATCAAAATGCTAGAAGAGGCGTGGATACGAGTGCTAGGGCTACAAGTGATAAGCCTGCTTGTGGGATGCCAAAACCACCAAATCCACACAAGCCAGCATCTTCTTACGAGCATCAAAATGCTAGAGACTGTATGGATCCGAGCCCTAAAGCTAGGAGTTATATGCATGCCCTTGCCCCTACAGATTCATTTAAATAACTGAAAGATAGTATGTGGTTTTGGGCAAAGTGCAATAGATGCAAGACACAATGTCAATATCTGGCGCCTTATTGTCATTACAAGAGCATACATTGTCAAAACTATGGTCAGGATTTCATTGCAACCCAACTTATGAAACCAGTCAACTACTCATTATCTCCTCAACAACAACAACAACAAAATAGTGCCCAAAATAAAGCAACAAACAAAAGCACCAATGGCGCTTCTTCTTCTGTGAGATATCCTTCTTCATCTGCAGCTCAGAAAATTCCACAAGCAACTAAGCAAGTGCCAAAAGTCCAGCAACAAACAAAAAAACAATTGGAGCCTCTTCTTCGCAAAGAGTTTCTTCACCGTGTGTTAGAGCAACCGCTAAAACTCCACAGGTAAGCTTTGTGAAGCTCTCATCATCTCCTCAACTACAACAACAAAAATGGAACGCTCAAAACACATGTGGTGCTACCTATTCACAGATGTCACATGAAACGGTTGCTACTGCAGAAAAGGACGTTCTTACACGTTTCTTGAAGTTGCTGAGTTCTGTTTTTCGCCTTTCACGAATGCTTTATGATATGATACGAATCCTTTTTCGTCTCTAGACTTAACTACAAGATTTCATATCTTTCACGACTCGGTCTAGTTTAAAGATTTGTGGTAGTTCCGTTTGATTCAAGAATATTGGGTTTCATGTTTTACTAAATCTTTATAGGACAGCTTCTATTGATTTTCTTCTCTAATCACATCCAAACAGTTTTTAAGAAAACATCGTTTGTTGTAAACAATTTGCGTGTCCTGTAATGAAACATATGTATTTGTTGGGTTTATATATACATATGTTTCACAAAGAAATAGTTGTTAGATGGAGTACTAAAAACTTTTTACCACTCGGCTGTCAAGTAGATAAAGACCACAAAGACCTATCATTTGTGTTGATCAGATATCCGAGGCCAAATGCTTGAGTTCTATGAAAGAAAAGCATATTCATAATCTTACATATCAAGAAAGCAGAGTTGAAAATGGTTAATTTACTCATTTCAATTTAATATATATTTTCACCATAATTTAATGTTATTTTTAATTATTTTCGAGAAATTCATTTTATAGATGTAAGCGTTTGTAAGAAGGTTTATATGAGGATAGTAATCTTAGTTACTTTCAAACTTTCTTATAAACGCTTACGTTTCCTTAATAATAAAATTTTAAAATGACATCCCCTATATTGTAAAAGAGAAGTACACTTTTACATGGGTTGATGGATCGGATCAAACTTAAAAATTAACCCAAAATTAGACAATTGGATACTTCAAAATCGATATTTAATTGGGATAGGATATAAATCAGCGAATTATATTATTTACATGTTTACATGTTAGATTTTCTAATATTTCTATAACTAATTTAAAATATTAGATAATAAATTTTATTATTCTCCTTTCACCTTTATTTGATCTTATTTTAATTTATTATATTAAAATATATAATATAGATATTGAATAAAAATTCATCTTTTTGAATATGTTGCAATTTGAATTTTTCAAAACGGATATATATTACCTAATTGACAAAGAAAATATTATTATAAACTTAAAATCTTATTAAAATAATGTTTGGATATCTAAAACGGGTTGGTTAAATATATTGGTTAAATCTAAGTAGGTTGGTTAAATATTTTCATGAAATTTTATATTATATTTTATTGATTGAAAAAGGTGTAAGACATACTATATCAATTAAATATTTTGGACAATGGTTTTAAATCATGGGGGAATTTCAAAAATACCCCTTTTCATATACCTCTTTTTAAAAATACCCCCTTTTCAAACTTTATCAAAAAACCCACTAAAAATGTTGAAATTTATCCAAATATGTGTGTAAGCTTATAAATATATACACAAATTACCTTTATATGTGTATAAAACCTTATATACCTTTCATAAATAGCGTAAAAATAAATTATAAAAAGTTTATAAAAACCTTATAAAACCCGTATAAATCCTTTTAAAAACCTTTTAAAAACCTTATAAAACTTATAAAAACGATTTAAAACTATTTAAAACATTTTAAAATATTTGTATCGAATCTCCCAGTAGTGGTTATTATATAGAAGTACCTTATAAACTATATAAAACTTTATAATTTTTATATTTAAAAAGGGGTATTTTTGAAAATGGATAGATAAAGGGGGTATTTTTAAAAAGGGGTACACCAAAAGGGGTATTTTTCAAAAATTATCTTGAATCATTATAAATATGACCAGTATGCTCCTAACTATGAATGAGCATGAAGTTAACTTAGCAGGCTTTCAATTTTAAAATTTTTGTTCGGATTAATAAAGTTATTTATTTGAGCATATAAAATTTTAAAAAGTGTTAAAATATTAAAATATCAGTTAGCGCATCCGTACACTTTGAGACTCTCCCAGGCACGAATGTCGAGGTTCCTCTACCAACTTCACGTGTCTACCTTTTCCGCCGCACCTAACCCCTTAGCCACCGTCTAAAGCCCCTCCGCCACCGCAGCTGCTTTTTCCGGTGCTTGCATTTTGTGTTTTTTTGCAGGTTTTTCCCCTCTCCTGCCTTTTGTGTGGTCTCTTATGGGTTTCGCCTTGTGCATTTGGTCCTGGGTCATGGCTTTCTCGACTCCTTACCTCACCTTAGCTCGGGTTCAAGAAGAACTGTCTCAGTGAGGTCGTCACCTCCCCTTTTGGGGCCCCTTGCTCTCCTTACTGCTCCTCTGCAGATTTTGTGTTCTGTTTACCGCCCCTTGCGGATCTTGTGCTCGGATCTACCATCACCCTCCAACCGTGTACTCTGCAAGCTTCCTCTCCGGCTTGATTCAGTAGCCTCAAGCCCTGCTTCTCCCACTTGTCGTTCTCTCTCTCTGGCGTGCTCCCTGCATTTCTACTGCATCTCTGCAGTTTTAGTTTTGGTTTCTTTTACTTGCTTCAGGTGACTTGGACTGCTTTTTCTTTGGCTCTGCAACCCCTGTTTGAACATCACTCTGATTTGCTACTCAAGGAGCTCTCTCTGTGAAATCTCCCTACAAAGACAATGTCACATAGATACTCCAAATATAAGAAAGCAAAATGGGTGGCTGGCTTACTGGTGGTTCGCCGCAAATCACCAGTCCGAATTCCTGATAGAGATACATCGGACCTAGCTGCTGAAAATCGTCTGACCCTCATTGGCAAAGTGACGAACCCTAAAAATCAAAAGGCTAAAGCCATTGTTGAGTATCTTCCCCAATACTGGATTCTGGAGAATAAAGTAACTGGTAAATGTCTAGGAACAAAGATTGTCCAGTTTCGCTTTGAAGCAAAGGCTGACCTGGAAAGAGTTATGGATAATTCACCTTACCACTTCAAACAATGGATGCTCATCCTACAACCTTGGGCCCCTATTATTTCAGTTTCCTTCCCCAACAATATATACTTTTGGGTAAAGATTCATAAACTCCCAGCTCTGTTATGGGATGACTAGACAGTTCGCACCATCGGCAAGGAATTAGGACCAGTAAGAGGACAAGAATCTTCGGAGGCTCGTGTAAGAGTCGAGATAAATGGTCTACTTCCTCTTGAGAGATCTGTTCCTATTCGCTTACCCTCTGGAGAGGTTACCAGTGTGGATGTCGAATATGAAAAGCTTGAAAAGCACTGCTTCCATTGCTTCTCACTGTCTCATGAAAAGAGAAATTGCCCTCAACTCTCCTCACCTGTGGAATCTCTCCCCAAACCTCTTGGTATCAACCAGCAGCTCACCCTTGAGAAGCTGAAGCTTGGGGAGAAACGTTCTTCTAATTACCACAGAGCTTCAAGAGATGATTCTCATGCTCACTTCAGAGCCTCCCAAAGACGTTCTCCAATGCGACGCTCCCCACCTCGTCGCTCTCCCCCTCGACGCTAAACCTATGCCCCAAGGTACTTGAACCAAGATAACAAGCATAGGTACCAGCATTCCAACCGTCTTTCATACTAATGTACACAGAGGTCGCTCTCCCATCAGAAGCTACAGAGATCACCATGATAGGAATCCCTCTCATTCTAGAGAGATCAGAGACATGCATTCCCCTTCCTATGTTCAGCACAGGACACCAATCTCTACTAATCGGAATGAGCATAACAATAGGTCAGCAAAGTTTGTCAGAACTGATTTAAGTCCATCCAAAAATCAATCTGCAAATGCTGCCTCTCTAGGTCAGGAGAACCCTCCTACAGAAGCTGTTACCCACTCTCATACCCCATCTCCAAGACCTCCTCGTGATCTCATCACTTCACCTATCCCTCTTGCCTCAAGTGGAGGAATTAACTCTTTCCATTCCCGACGGCCGGCCCTTTTGGTGGAGAGATTCGTGGACCACGTTGAGTTCCAAAGATTTATGTTGATTCAAGTAAGTTACAAGAGGTGGAAATATAATATTTTGAGACTGGATCTCCCCAGATTCCCCTCAACCCTGCTGCTAACTCGGAACTGGTGGAAAGAACCCATGTTGCACTCAGATTAGGCCCACCTGCTACAACTAACAGAAAGCAGACAAAAGTTAAGACTGGTGCCAGTAAGGTAACCTCAAAACCTAAGAATACTGTGCAGAAAACTACAGGCAAAAGGAAAGTGCCCCGGGCACCAGCTAAACCAAGAGGTACGAGAAGCCCACTCCAAGGCCCAAGCCTTCGAAAGATCTACTCCACCAGATCGAATAACCCCCCAAGAAAACGTCTTTGCTCTGAGCCTTCTAAGGGCTCTCTTGGTGAGAAAGATATCCCTGGACCTAGTGGTACTCAAGCTGACCCTCCTACTATTAATCTAATTCCTACAACTGTTAGAGAAGTGGTGGATTTTCAATCCCCACAAAACCCTCTCCCTTAGCTGTTTTGAGCTGGAACTGTCAAGGCTTGAGAGGCAACCTTACAGTTCGTCGACTAAAGGGATTACATCGCAGTTTTTCCATGGAGACTAAGAACAATGATGATGTTGTTTCCACTTCTTTGCTTGAACTTGGTTATA